TCCTCAGCCTGGTCTTGACTGACCCCTTTGCTCATTACTCCTCCTTCTCAACAACTGGATTCCAGGAGTTCAGCTTAGTGTTTAGCAGTGAATCTCTGCTTCTGCTTCCTTCAGCTACTGGATGAAGGCTCTAGGATGGCATTTAAGGTAGTCATCAATCTCATTATAGGGGAGGGACATTTAAGGTCTCACAGGGTTTTCTAAGAAGTGAATTAAATTACAAAATTCTTAGCATGGTATCTGCTTCATGGTAAGTCATCAGTTAGTATTTCTTAAACAGCTGAATTTTTTTAAAAAGAAAAATCTTATACTATATAATGATAAACTACTAGAGTCAAAGTTTTACATGAAGAGCCATAAATGTAATTCATGTAATAAATCATATAAAACACAATTTAAGAAAAGACATACTTGTAAAGATGTGTAACCTTTTGCATCAGGCTGAATGGAAGAAGTTGATTTTGTGTCTTGAGATAGCATCAGTGTTGTAAGGACATGCCCTGCAAGAAGCTTTGCTGGCAGGCATGTAGCCTGTTCCTACTAGCTTATGTCATGATTCAGAGGATATTCTTCAAATCCAAATTAGTTGTATATTTTTTTGTAAATGAATTAAAATATTTAGAAAGGAAAGCATGTTGGAGGAACTGTCACTTTGAGGTGTCCTTTATTCCCCAAGAAGAATAGAGAAAGCAGGACAGCAGAAGACAAAACACATAAAAGAAATAACAGTATTCCAGCATGAACAATGAGGCTTAGATACAAAAGTAGCACCTCTGCAGAGGTAAAGAGGAGATGCTATTCATTTTGTCTGCTATGAAACCCAGAAATTTCCCTCCAATATTTAACACACCAGGAATAAATATTGTTAGTCTATATGGTGATACTTAAAACTGAGAGGGAGATTCAATGTTCAGATTTACTGATGAGTACAAGGAGACTGAAGGAGGTCAGAGGCTGGGTTATAGGGAGTCTCGGAAATACCCAGAAAATGACTACCAATATGATGCAGTGGGTAAAGGCTCTTATACAAGTTTTGCAACCTGAGTTCAAACACTGGAATCCTTGTAAACATGGCAGGACAGAACTGACTCCATGAAATTACCGTCCAACCTCTACTTATATGTGTGACACACAATAACAGTAAGTTTTTTGAAACTAGAGCCTTACTGTATAGTTTTGGCTAGCCTGAAACTTACTGTGTAGACCAGGTTGACCTCTAACAAACAGAGATCCACCTGCCTCTGCCTCTTAAGTGCTGGAATTAAAGGCATGTGACACTAAACCCAACTAATAATATTTTTTAAAAACAATAAAAACCCAGAAAAGATATTCCTGGAAGAATTGACCCATCCCCCAAAGAGGAACTGCTAGACTATTTACTTCGATGGACAGGTGTTACAAGTAGGATTTTCTGCTGGCCTGCACCCACTGCAATGCCAGCCCCAATTAACACACAGAGACTCTGTATTTGATATTATGCTGTTGGCCAGTTACTTGTTTCTTAACGGCTAGCTCTGCCTTAATTATTAACCCATTTCTATTCATCTAAGTGTTTCCATGTGGTCTCATGTTACCAGAGAGTAGGGCTGGCGTTCTGCTCTCTCCAATCTACATGCTGAGTCCTTCCTACTTCCTCTCTCCTCGTCTCCTAGTCCCACCTATCTTGCTTTTCTATTGGCTAACGGTTCTTTATTCATTAACCAGTGTGAGAAACATATTTACAGAATGACATCTCCCAACAGGCAGGCAATTAAAAGAGGAAGACAGATTAAGTTCTAGTTGGAGTGGGGTGGATGATGTTGGAGTCAGTGGATTTCAGAGAGTACTGGGGAAATGGCCATACTTAACAGTCCCGGCAAAGCTAGATTTATTAGTTATTTGTAGTTACTGTGAGAAAATTTCATAGCCAAAGATAAAATAAGGAAGACAGAGTTTATTTTAGTGTATGAATCTACAGTGACAGCATCTGTTGATGGTGGGAAATGCATGGCATATTAACAGGAGCAGAAAGCTGGATATTCACATTTTCTTTCTTTCACATTTATATGTACACACAGAAAATTAGAGTGGGGAGAAGTAGAACAAGCCTGCAAACCCTCAAAGCTTGCTGCCCCAGGGACATATTTCCAGCAAGTTTCCACCTCCTTAGGGTTCTATGACCTCCCCCAAACTACCAATTAGGTACCACATGAGCCTGTGGAGGACATTCTCACTCATACACTGCATCAGAAAAAAGAGCTCACGCACTAAACTTGACACACCTTCATTCAATATAAGCAACACAATCAAGTTAAGGTTGAACAGCATGGAAGCATAAAGAAAAATGAGGTTAATCACTTGAATAAGAAAACTACAACAATGAGGTCACACTAGGGAAACAAGCCTCCCTCCCAATGGATGCAACTTTCTTCAGATTCCAAAAGATAACCAAGGTAAATTAAGAGAGTGACAGACAACCTAGTATAGTATTGCATACTTTTATCCTAGCACTCTGGAGACAGAGGCAGGTAGATTTCTGAGAGTTCAAGGTCAGCCAGGACTATACAGTGATCCCCTATCTCATTATTATTATTATTATTATCATCATCATCATAAAAATAATAATAAAGTCTAGATAGTAGTGGTGCATTGTTTTAATCCCTGCACTCAGGAGGCAGAGGCAGGTAGATAGATTTCTGTGAGTTAGAGGCCAGCCTGGTCTACCGAGTGAATTCCAGGACTTCCAGGGTTATACAGAGAAACTCTGTTTCAAAATCCCCCCCTCAAAAGGAAGTGATAGGCATTACAAAAGATCTGTGCATGCCCCAGGGTTGAAAAGTTCTGACCCTAAAGAACTAAATCTTATAAGGCACCCTGAGAAAAGAGCTCACAGAGGAGGAACCTAATAGAGTAAAAGAGGTATTTTTAGAAGTCCAGAGAGTATATATTGTTGTCACTAAACTGTAAAGAAAGGACAAAAAGGTCACTATAAAATTTCACTGTGGTTATTTTCAAGTGAAGGGGGCTTGAGGTTGGGGTGGGACACAAGCATATGAAGAAGGCTGGCAAATACTTGAATTCATTGATAGTAAAAAATTTGACTTGCTTATAATTATTCACTAAACTAAGCATTTGGCTGGTGTTCTGATTCCGTAAGTAGTAGTACTTTTGGCTACAAATACTACACAGACCTGACTGATACCCTCTTAAACAAAAATAGACGTTTATCTTGAATCCCACCTGTAACCTGATACTATGACTTGTGTCCTAGGTGCATCCATTGCCTTGTGGAGGTAAGATGGCTGCATGTGCCAGGGATAAGACTAACCATCTTGTGGTAAACAGGTTAACCACTACAGCAAAACCACTGGTCTCAAACACTAGTAAGGTTAAAGTTGAGAAAACATGTTCTATAATTCTAACATTCTAGGAAAGCTTGGGTTATATAAGAAACCGTTTCTTAGTTATTTATTCCCTAACAAGTAATTTGACATGAACAAAGCCTTGGTCAGTCTTTTCTGCACCCTGACTCTGTGCTGGGTTCGAGGAGCACTGCGGTCAAAAAATTTGACAACTAACAAAAAAAGACAAATCACTTAATTGACCCCCCCCCATTTTTTCTACACAAGTAATTTTCAGTATATTGTACCATTAGGGCAGACAGCAATGCACTTAGGTGCAGGAATAATGAGGCTCAATGATCACATCAAACCTCATCTAGATTAGAAGTTTATCATTATTCCTTTTATCATTTACCAGACAGATCATCTTGTCTGACTACTGCTGGGTACTAAGCTGCCTTTTCCCACCTATTATACAAATAGCCTCTATAAATATGGAATTGATGGTTACAGGACAGAAGCCAAAACTTATTTGTGTGCTTTGGGCCTACATTTCAGTGACCGTGTTGGCAATCTTTAATGAACTGCATGCAGATGTGGATCTTTATGCTCTTCTGTTTGGAGAGAGTGTCCTGAATGATGCTGTTGCCATTGTACTGTCCTCGTAAGTAACTCTTTACTGCAGGTGCGTGGGGGATGGGATATATTTCTGTCTTTGTCTTTCAGCAGCATTCAGGATGCTGATGTCAGTATAACATGGTAGCTGCAGCTTAAATTAAATGCATTTACTGTGGGCAGTGCTTGGTAGACTTTGTTTATTGATATTTTCAGTTACAGCGCACCTCCTTACCCCCAGGGGTACAGTTTAAGACCCCTAGTGGATGCTTGAAACCATACTAATCCCTGTTTATGATTTTTACATACATATATACATACACATATATAATGAAGGTAAGTATAAATTAGACAAGTAGAAAGATAGAAATGACTAATAATAAAGTAGCACAATTAAAATAATGTTTTAATTGTAATAATATACAACAAGCTTACTCTTTCTCTCAAAATGTGTTATTGCACATTTCACTTACATATAATGTTTTATTGCTTGTCTTTGGCAGATCCAAATTTTTGGCAACACTGCGTTTTCTTCTTCGAAACATTATTAAGTAAAATAAAAGTTGTTTGATCATAAGTGCTGTAGTCAGTGGTTTCTAAGGCATATACCATGTTAAAGTAGTGAGTGATTCATGGCATGGATAGGCTGCATCTGGATGGTTTGAGATTTCATTGTGTTATTGAGAACAGTATATAATTTATAACTTAGAGTTTATTTTTGGATTTTTCTACTTAATAGTTTTAGGTTGACGTTGACCTCAGGTAACTAAAACCATGGAAAGTGAAATAACGAAGGAGGGTGGGAACTGTTTAGTGTATCCACTGTGGTCTTTTTTCAAAAACAAAACCAAAACTTTATCTTTCTTTTTAAATTCCAGGTCCATTGTTGCCTATCAGCCAGCAGGACTAAATACCCATGCTTTTGACGCTGCTGCCTTTTTTAAGTCAGTTGGCATTTTTCTAGGCATATTTAGTGGCTCTTTTACCATGGGAGCTGTAACTGGTGTTGTGACTGCTCTAATATCCTTTTGGTTAGTTTGGCCCCTGCCTAGCCACACATACATGATATTGTATTTGCAAAGAGAATGTTCTTGGTTCCTTCTCTCAGATCAGAATCTTAAAGTGAGTTATCCTGAGATGTGGTACCTCCTCAGCTGGGTCAGGCACAGTGACTGGGCCCCTCAGGAAGAACCTGGGAAATTAGACTCTGAGAGTTACAAAAGAAGAGGTAATGAAATTGGAACAGGGATATGATGGGTTGTCTCAAGTGGTATGGAGTTGGGGGTACATATGATCAAAATACATTGTTAGCATGTATGAATTAAGGAATAAGTAAAACAAATTCTCTCAGAAGAGAATGTGAAGAAGGAGGGAAATAAAATCAGTGAAACACAAACTATAACAAATAAAAATTTAAAAATAGGGAATTCAGCTCTAGATTTTGCTTTGTCCTTACCTTTGCTGTTTTTTCTCCCTTTCTTATAACTCAGTTAGAACACCCATTATAGGGGATGAAGAGACTGAGGAACACAGATGAAGCTTGCAGTCAGTAACCACTGGTTAGGCAGCACTTTAGCTACTGGCTACTGGTGTTGTCTGCTGTTCAGAGACTATGGGCATTAAGGCAGCCATAACTAAACCAGAGCCATTGGTGGTCATTACTGGACTTTCTACTGTGCCATCCATGAGGAAAGGATGGTATGATATTTAGTTTCAAATAACCAAACAAAAAGAAAAAGACATGGAAGGAGCTGGCATTCCCTCTACATATGTGCTGAATCCTCTATCACAGTGCCCTCTTTGCTGGGCATTACTATTAAATGTAATTCAAACCACATCTATTTTATGCATAACCAGTATAGATAACATGGAAAATTATTAGTAAGATTTGAGTTTTGTTCTGGTCTTTGAGATATGTATCTTTTTCTCTTTGCAAAACCTTAGCTATGCCTAACTACATTTTAAATGTTGAGAATCTACAAGTAGCTAGCAGCTACTGTGTCAGACAGCACAAATCAAGATAACTTTGTTTAATGGCCTTGGTACAAGGGTTTAATTGCTTAGTGAACTGATTTGTGAGTTGTTTCTATATTGATGGTGTATTGAATGGCAGTGGTAGGAAGAAGATTCCCTCTGTTCTGTAAAGGAGACCCCAGCACTTCATTGCTGTTACAGGAGTGATATATTTCTTCTTTTCTGTCTCATACATGGGTCAGGCTTTCATGATCCACAGGGATCAGAGCCTGTCTTCCCAGGTCTGCCTAAGGTCTTCCCAGACCTATGAGAACTAACCTGTCAGTCCAGCCTTCAGCCAGAAATTTGTTTATAGAGTCATAGTAATTCATGTACTATGAAATTCACACATTTAGAGCATACAATTCAATTACTTTGCAATTACTTTCCTTGTGTTATTAATTTTTAAAATAGTGACAATGTATAATAAAATTTGCTCAGCACACAATTTAAAGTTAGTAAGTACAGGAGGCAACAAGATGGTTCAGCAGGTAAGGGCTTTTGCCACAAAGCCTGATGACTTGTGCTTTTCCCCTGGAACCCACATGCTAGAAGAAAACTACTCCCTATAAGTTGTCTTCTGATCATCATATGCTTGCTTAACAAGCATGTGTGTGTCACAATGTAGATTATCCATTCCTACTGCCTGTTCCCCAAATTGTATTCCTTATCTTAGACAGACAATCTGTGCCAATTCAACAACTCTACGATCTAACTCTGGCTCTGGTAACCTGTGTTCTACTGTAAAGTTTCTTTTATTTTGTGTGGTGGGTGGATCAAACCCAGGATCTGCAAACTAGGCAAGTGCTTACCACTTAGCTACACCGACAGGCCCTGGAAAGCTTAATTTATTTTATTTTATTTTTGTTACTTGAAAATTGAGCTCAGCTGTTAAGAGCACTGGCTGCTCTTCAGAGGACCCAGATTCAGTTCTCAGCATCCACATGGCTGCTCACAACTATCTATAATCCCATTTCTTGATACCCTCACACAGACATACATGCAGGCAGAACACTAATGTACATAAAATAAAAAATAATAATTCTAAATAAAAGAAAGAAAATATGTGTATGGTAATGATAGAGCATACCTTTAATCCCAGCACTTGGGAGGTAGAGGCCAGTGGATCTCTGTGAGTTTGAGTCCTGTCTGATCTACACAGTGAGTTCCAGGCCAGCCAAGGATACATAAAGAAACCCTGTCTCAAAAAGAGAAGCAATAAAGCATGCCTGGTTAGGGATGTGTGGCAGAGTGGTAGAGGATCAGCCTAGCATGTTCAGGGCTCTTAAGCTCCATCCTGACACTGTAACATTTAAACAGATAGATAAGACACACCCCAAGGAGATATAGGGAATGGATGGCCCTTAGAGAAGGGGACTCAGGCTAAAAGAATGGGGATCTCAAGTGTCCCTGCTGTCCCTGCCCAGAGCTGCTGTCCTTAACCTAGTGCTGACGTGACCAAGTTCACTAAGCTGCACTGCTTCCCCCTGCTGGAGACAGCACTTTTCTTCCTGATGTCCTGGAGCACGTTTCTTTTGGCTGAAGCCTGTGGATTTACAGGTAGGTTAATGCTGGGCTGGCAGGGCCTGTGAGAGAGGGAGGGAAGGGGGAGGGAGGGGGAATTATGCAAAGCTCACCTGCCATAAATTCTCCATGTCAGTAGAATTTATTTTCTTGTCTCATTCTTCCCACTGAATTTTAGAAACTCTTTTGACAGGTGTTGTAGCTGTCCTTTTCTGTGGGATTACACAAGCTCATTATACATATAACAATCTGTCAGTGGAATCAAGAAGTCGAAGCAAGCAGGTAAGAGAAGCCCTTGAGCCTGATGGGCTTCTAGGTAGCATGGCAGGAGGAGCGCAGAGTTCACAGCCTGCTCTTTCCTTTTTTCATGCAGCTTTTTGAGGTGTTACACTTTCTGGCAGAGAACTTCATCTTCTCCTACATGGGCCTGGCACTGTTCACCTTCCAGAAGCATGTTTTCAGCCCCATTTTCATCATTGGTGCTTTTGTATCCTTTTCTTATTCCAAATGGAGACAGAGAGGTGACCTCTGTTGGGGAAGCTGTATAACCACTAATGATAATCGTTTGATCACTGTCTCAGTTTTGAGTGGGTAACAGGGTCAGTTGCAGTTCAGAATATTTGTGGGGAGCTTCTTAAAGCAGAATGTATTTGATTCCAAGGCCTGAATTTTTTTCTGGTATTTCCTGTTTTAAGTTAGTACTTGATGGACTATCATTTGTTTTGTAGAGCTCTGTCCTGAGTAGATCTAAAAGTCAATAGTCATGTCAGTCTCCAGAATTATTTTTGACATGCCATTGCCATGTCAGTTTAACACAGGTAGTTTCCTGATTTTAGTAACCAGAACATTACAATCTGCTTGCTCTCAGCTGCATAGTCCAGCTTGGCTAGCCGTACCCCATGCTATCCTTGTGTGAGTAGACAGTGAATGTGCTTTCACCCAAGCATAATCAACAGTAGCAGGGCAGCTTGGTCACCTTTGCTTTTGTAAAACAAGAAGGAAGGGAGGTTTGGGAGGAGAGAGAGAGGAGGAAAAAAAGAACAGATAAAGATATTGATAGGATTGGAGGGAAGGATGAAGGGAGAAAAAAGGGCATAATAAAATACCTAGTTCTTTGAGTTGGGCTGTTGGGAATAAAGTGTTTGAAAAGGGCACACTTTAGTGCTTGGCTTAGAAAGGACACATGTGTGTACCCAACAGTGGCAGCAGCCAAGGATTTGGCTCACTTGGTCTTAGATACTATTATTTTTACTAAAGTAAAAGTAAACTTTTCTGGCTCTGAATTTCAAAATCCTGTTCCTATTGCTGGACGACTTCTTCTTCTTCTTCTTCTTCTTCTTCTTCTTCTTCTTCTTCTTCTTCTTCTTCTTCTTCTTCTTCTTCTTCCTCCTCCTCCTCCTCCTCCTCCTCCTCCTCCTCCTCCTCCTTTTTTCTTTTTTCTTTTTGCCTTCTTGAGGTGTCATGGGAATCCTTAACTCTTATGTTATCTAAAAAGTATTTTTTCTTCTGGGGTTTTCATTTCATGTGTAAGAATGTGAGGGGCTAGCCCTTCTTAGCTGCTAGATAGTGACAGTGCTGGAATGCCGGTTAGGGTCTTACGAGTTGACTTTACACATTCACTAGAGGAAGAGCTTAGAATCTGTTGGATGAGTTTGTCTTCACTCAGCCCTAGCATGTCACTCTGAATTGTATTTCCTGCATAGCATACTGGACGAGATAGTGGGAGGAAGGCCTTGTTTACAGATAATGCCTGTTGGCTGGGTGAGCCATGTCTGAAAGGCTGCTGGCCATTTGAGGCTTTTTCTGCACCTCTGAGACAGAATATGCATGCATTACAAGCACTACCCATTTCCTTTTGTTAAAAACAAAACCAAACAAGGAAAGGAAGAAAGACTAAAAAAAAAAAAAAAGCAGGAACACAGTTTACACTTTACCCTGGAGGAAGTCGAAGATAGTTTGGCCCTGGTTTCTGTCTGAAACAGCTGTGGCTGCTGCAGCTGGTGCGTTGCTTGGCGGAAGCTCTCTGTTTGCTGGCTCCCGCCTGAGTTTCCTTCTCTGACCAGGGGATTGTGCCTCTCTCTCTGTTGGGTGCTGTTTAAACTTGGCAAGGGAAAGATGACTGATTTCCCTCAATTCTTTGCTTTTCACAGTAGAGTTCTTTTTTCACATTCATCCTTTTCTACTTCTTACATCCCCAAAGGCCATTTAAGCTACATAGGCAGAGACTTTCTCTGACTTCATTTCTGTGAGTGAATGTTTCTTTGTGGTAAGACTGCTTGAGGTTTCCTCACTTCTGTTTTCAGGTGCTCCCTGGGCATTGAAGTCCTGTCTACCCCCCCCTCCCCCCCGCCCTTTTTTTTTTTTTTTTTTTTTTTTGTTTTTTTGTTTTAAGTGAAGCTTGCTCTTTCTTTAGCAAACTTTCTACAGTTTGACTCCAGGATTATTTTTCTTTCTTGTTGTTTTCCTTCTAGCAGAGCCCAACAGAATATGCCTTGTTCTTGTCCAGTCTGCACTCTTGCTATGGTACTTTAGATTACTTCTGGACTTATATTTAGAGAAATTAAGGAATCTGTCAGTACTGGTTCAGTTCAATTCAAAAGTTACAGCAACGTGTTTCATAAGCTGAAAATTAATGAACTAAGAAGTCGGAAAGTTGATTAAGTGACTCCCATTTTGTTGCTGAGGGGATCATTCTATGGGGAATCCAGGCATTTTGACTTCTTTGGGCAGCTGTGTGCATCACAGCATTCCTAAAATTCTGTGGTCAACCAGAGTGTTTTGAAGTGCCGTTCTGAAAACTTTTTGGGTCCTTAACCTCACCTGGTGGTCAGGTTGCCATCTTCCTGGGCAGAGCTGCACATATCTATCCACTCTCCTTCTTCCTCAACTTGGGCAGAAGGCATAAGATTGGCTGGAATTTTCAACACATGATGATGTTTTCAGGTAAAATATGTTTATATATAAAGAAAATAGATTTTATTTAGCAAATAATGATAATATGACAAAATACAATCAACTGGGCTTGATAGCACATCTGTAATCACAGGCTAGGAAGTGGGAGGCAGAAGGCCATGCTTAGGTGCATATTGAGTTTGAGACCAGCCTGGGCTAAATGAGATCCTGTCTCAAAAATCCTGCTACAGGTCTATCTTTTTACTCTTCTATGAGGTAACCCCCCCCCCCTGCTAAGAAATACCACCCAGTTTTCCACAAATGTGCATTTGAACATATTCATACTCAGCCAACATTTTTGTTGACTGGTATTTAGATTGAAAACTCAGAGAGCTTGTTATTAGGCAAGTTTCTTTTTTAGTTTACTAGCAGGAAAATCATTTAAATAGTAAGAGTTATTCTAGAATGTGCTGTACAAAGTGGTGCTGTGTTTTTCTTCTCATGCTGGGAAGTCTGTGAATGCCAGCTTCAAAGGGAAGAAGACCATACACCTTTGGGGTGCTTCTGTGGGGTTTAAGCAGCAGGATTCCCAAAGCATGTGGCAGGAGTTTTGTTATCCCCACAGTTGCAGTACATTTTGAGGAATTGTCATCAGGTCCTCTCATCACCAGAGGATCTTCCTATTTGGTTCCCACAGGCCTGAGGGGAGCGATGGCATTTGCACTTGCCATCCGTGACACAACATCCTATGCCCGCCAGATGATGTTCACAACCACGCTGCTCATCGTCTTCTTCACTGTCTGGGTCATTGGTGGAGGCACGACACCCATGTTGTCATGGCTCAATATAAGGTCAGTTTGGAACCAAGCCAGTTTTGTGTCTAAATGTGTCAGTTGTCACAGTGCTTGAGAATGCTCAATGTGCTGTGCAGACTGCTTGTGAAAGGTTCTCATTCTTTCAGTTTAAGATATGTGTTTGGGAGTGTATTTTAAAGTTTTTAAATTAAAATTTGGAGTATTGAGAGTTTTCATGATACAGAAGTATCACTGAATTAAAAAAAACAATTTGTAATAAAATTATCAGTATACACAGGAAACTAGGATGAGGTGGCTCTTACTAGGGCATTGACTTTAGTATAAGAGTTCAGAGCCTCAAAGCTACAGGAAGAGGGAACAGACCTGTACCCATGGTAATGTTTCCTGTTCCTTTGTGTTGAAAGCTGGGCCCAGAAGAAGAAGCTCCTTATCCAGAAATCAAAAGAGGCGAGTAGAGTTTCACTTCCTTAGGAATTTGTATGCCATGCCTCTTCTTGGCTTCTGTGCAAAAAAAGAGATAATATTTTCTATGTAACCATCACCTGTTGTAGCCCCATGGCATCTTTTTTTGTGTGGTCTGTAGCTTTGTCAGGGCACAGGGATGTTGACCTACCTTTGATTCTTAATTTTTCCTTGATTTCTCCTATCTCTACTTCCTAAGCATTGGGACTACAGGCATGTGACCCCACACCCAGACTGTCTTAGGGTTTCTATTGCTATGAAGAGACATCATGACCATGGCAACTCTTACTAAGGAAAACATTTAGTTGGCTTACAGTTTCAGAGGTGGAGTCCATTATCATCATGGTGGGACATGGTGCCATGCAGACAGACAGAACTGGAGAAGGAGCTGAGAATAGAGAAGGAACTACATCTTGATCTCACAGTCAACAGGACTAGGTCTGGAACACTGGGCATGACTTGAGCTTACATGGGACTTCAAAATCCACCCCACTCCAACAAGGCCATACTTACTCCAACAAAGCCACACGTCTTAATAGTGCCACTTCCTATGAGCTTATGGGGGCAGTTACTTTCAAACTACTACACAGAATCAGGAATTTTATTTTGTAAAGAGCATTGGGATTATATACTGTGATCTATATCACTGTTTACTCAAAAAGGCATTCACTAGACCAGGAGTCCAGAGACCCACAGCCCAGTAGTGACTGATCTCTGACCACTCATTTCTTTGAGCTCCAGTTTTCCTCAGAGGAAATGAAACTTTATGCCAGAGTACTTTCAGGGCTCTCCACATCAATGTGTTAAACTCTGCCTCTCTAGTCTGTGTCACTGGAGATTCTCTGGCTACCTGCTGTGGTTTCATGTCTTCACTGGGTGACTGTGACTCATCAAGGAGGCACTTGGGTAATGTAAATGCCTGAAGAGTCACTCTCTAAAGAGCCACAAGGTGGCAGTATATCTTTCTCTTATGCTCTTTAATTTGTTTTCCCTCCTCTAGAATATAGAATGCCAAACAAAGACAGTTGGAGCTCCCACGCACTTCAGAGGAGAGAAACAGGATTTGAGAGAATAGCCTTTTCCGCCTGAGGCATTTATACTGATGGTAGGCAGGGATTCCTGGGTTTGGCCACTGCCAGTTGTGCCATTTCTGGGCTAATGTGTCTCAGACTGCAGATCAAGGCAGGGGCTTCTTGGTGACAATCTTGTCTTCGCTCATGTTTGCATTGCAAGTACCATTTGCATTTCCATGTTTATGTAGTAAGATATGGTTCTCATAACATTCCCATAGTGGAGATAATACTGTAATCCCTATTTTAGAGTTGGGGAGATGAGACAATAGAACAATGACTTTGCTCTAGGTCACAGAGTTTTAAGAGGATGAGGTGGGACTGGAATTCAGGAAGTTCACTGTGTTGTCCATTTGTAAGAAGGGTTGTGGTGCTAAAGACTGCTTTCCTCATACAATTTGGAATGTTTAGAATTTTTTCTTTCTAGCATTAATTCTAATGGTCAGATAGTCCATGCTTGGGAATGTAACCCTGAAGAAAGAACTTATAGTTATGTGGTACTCACCTTGAGACACCAGATGGTACTGCCTTTGTTCTTTGTAGTAGCATGAGGATAAGACAGGTGCTTGATCCTGTGTACAACTGAGAGTTTGCACCCAGTACCTGTGAAGTTACTCTCTGCCAGAGTCAGAGTTTTGGAATAGGGTTACTCATCTTGTATAGAGAATTGACAGACAGCTAATAGGCAAAATTTTATTTTTTAATTTTTTTTTGTTTTTCGAGACAGGTTTTCTCTGTATTATTTGGAGCCTGTTCCGGAACTAGTTCTGTAGACCAGGCTGTCCTCAAACTCACAGAGATTCACCTGCTTCTGCCTCCAGAGTACTGGGATTAAAGGTGTGCATCACAAATGCCCAGTTATAAGCAAAATTTTATAAACTCCCCAGACTCTTTGGCATTTGTATTTATCATTGGCTTTTGAAAACATTGACCAATACTATATAGCTTATCAGAAGTTTTTAGAAACTTTGAAGTCTGATTTCTTTCTCATTCTACTCCATTCATAAAAATGCACTTTGTGTATTGAGAAAACATTCACATTTATGCCTAATTTTATATGAGTAATTTAAAGCAGCTCCATAAATGCATAAAAGTTCTAGACCTCTCATTATTTTTTGCTAATCCCAGAAATTGTAGTAAGCTGCATAAGAGCATAGACTTCAAAGATGTGTTAAAAACTGTAATCCACCATTATGTAACAAAGAACAAAGGCAAACTATCTGGCTTTTTAAGTGTGATGCTAGTGACAGAACTCAAGGCCTCAGCATGCTAAGCAAGTGCTGGACCAGTGAGACACATCCTCATTATCTAACCTGCTTAATCCTTTCCTTACCTACAGAAAACTTACAACACCACAATATATTGTTTGAAAATGTTGTTCCAGGATTCCCCGTGGATAATAAACCCTGCAGATGCTCAAGGCCCTTGTAAAAGTGGGGTAATGTTTGTTCAGAACCCATGCCCATTATCTCAATAAATAAATGGTCTCTAAAAGCCTTTGGCATTTCCTACAATGTAAATGTTATGCAAACAACTGTAGTGCCATATTGTTTGTGGAATAATGACAAGGGAAAAAAAAAGGTCTACGTGCTCATTACAGAAGCAGTTGGGAGGGGGTATGTTTAATCTGGGATTGATTGGATTCCCACACATAAAACTCCACTGAGTACACAAAGCAAGGAGGGCAATACCCCCTGGCCATAGTGAATGATCAAAACAGGACTCATCAAAAGAACTGTTGGTTACCAGACAGCTAACAAACAAAAGTTTGTAATTTTCTCAGACTCTGTGATGTTTGTATTTATCATGGGCTTTTGAAAATATTAAACATCATTATATAACTAATCAGGGGTTTCTGCAAACTTTGAAGTCTATCATAATTTCTTTCTCATCCTATTTATAGAACCCATTTTTATATGTTCAGAAACTATTCATACTTATGTGTGATTTTACATGAATAAGTTAAAGCAGCTCCCTAAACTGTATAAAAGTTCAAGGCCCCTCAGGAATTGTCTGGTCTCCCAGTCTCTTGCTTGTTTATGGCCATATTATATCATGTGCATTTTCATTCTATTTTGTAAGTTCTGTTCTTTTTTTTGAATCCCAAAGCATATTTGGTACAACCAAAACCAAATTATTTTCCACTGAGAGTAGAGAGTTGACTTTTTTTTAACTTCCTCATGACCTTTACAAAAAGTGGGCCATTAAAACAGTCCTCCCAGAGCTGATATGTGGGCAGCTTTCTGAGAAGCATGTGATGGCTCAACTAGGCTGGAGCTGCTAAGAAGTGAGCAAGTCTGTTGAACAGAAAACCAACAGTTCCTGTAATTCTGCTTTTCTGTTTTTTTTATGTCTACGTTTTGGTTCCTTAACCATGTCATATTATCCGTAAATAACATAGAGAAAAGATCAGTCTATGGAGAATGGGTGATCAAAATTTGCTATTATTAGTATTTTAGAAAAGATTCAGTTTCCCTGTTCTTCATTGGTAATGTCATGTGACTTTTTTGAATTGTCAAATTTGGAGAAACCCTCTCAAGTTTCTTTGATATGTGAACCAGAATATTTCAGAGCATAAAAGCTATGCAGCATAATTTTTATTCTGAAGTAGTTATAGGGCTGAGCATTCAGAGTACATATCATGCATGTTCTCCTGTGCTTCCATCTTGCATAACTGTACTATATCACAACAGGAGCTGAAATGAGTTCATCTGTGTGTCTCTATACTATTTTATTACATATGGTTTTTGTTTTTGCAAGCACCACTATGTTCAAGGAAAAGAACTGTTCCAACACAAAGATGTCCTTAGCTCCATACTTTATCACACTCACCTCCTACCCTCACCAATCCCTTAATCCAGTAGCCTTGAATTTCTACTCCAACATTATAATTTTGTCATTTTGATAATTAAGGAGCTCAAATCATATAGCATATGATCTTTTGAGATGGCTTTCTCTTCCATTCAACATAATGCCATGGACATCCATATAAGCCATTGTACATGCCAATAGTTTGTTCGTTTTTATTTCTGGAGAATATTTCATGACATGATTGTATCAGGGCTTGTTTAACCATTCATTCACACCTTGAAGCTACTGTCAACATATCTAGGTAAGTTTTTATATCAGTGGAGGCTTCCATATATATAAGATATATGTCCAGGAGTATGCTTGCCACATGAGATAGTAAATTAGTATTTAATTTTCTAAGGAACTGCGTAACAGTGTTCCAGAGTGGCTGTGTTAGTGGCATGTGAAGATCTGGTTTCCTGGTATCCTTAGCAGTGCTACTTTGCATTCTCTAGTTGTTCTAATAGAAATGTGTGGTGCTGTCTCATCCTGCTCTTAATTTACATCTCTTTTTATGGCTAATGATGTTGAATATCTCTTCATGGCCTTATCTATTACTTTTATCTTTTCTTTCATGAATGCCAAAGTCTTTTGTTTGCTTTATAATTGGAGTTATTTGTTGTTATGATTTTTGAAATGTTTTTATTCTAGATACTAGTGTTTTAAAAGATAACATGGTTTGCAAGTTCTTTCTCACTTTCTTGTATCTTGTCTAATCTGTCTTTTTTGAGTCATCTATTTGGTGCCATGTCTAAAAGGTTCACCAAACCCTCTTGAAACTTCCTTCTTTGTTGTTAACTTAAACACTTCATTTTGTAGTTTACAATTAAGTCTATGAGCTGTTCTTGGTTAATATTTGTATACAATATAAAGTTTTGTCATATTTGTTTATGGCTATCCAGTTGTTCCAGTATGGTATAATAAAAAGACTGTGCTATTTCATTGAATAGCATAATGAAGTAACAGACTGCTGTTCCATTACCTTTTCTCATTTGTCAGAAATAAGTTGTCTGTGTACTTGGGGATCAGTTTCTGTTCTGGCTCATGGACTTATGTGTCTGACTTTCCAAAAATGATTACTATAGTTAAACAGCATGCCTGAGCATCTGGTAGACAGATTGCAACTGCTTCTTTCCCCCCCCCCCCAAATTGGAGCTATTCTAGTTTTATTTCATATAAATTTTAGAATAAGCTTGTCTATGTCTAAAGTAAAAATCATTCCATAGCCAGGCATGCTTTTAATTTCAACAATTAGGAGGTTAAGGCAGGAGTTCAAGGCTAGCCTAGGAGATATGAAGAGAGTCTGTTTGAAAAAAATTGAATAAAATAAAAGTAAGCAATCTTTCTCTCCTTTTCATAAGAACCATATTTTATATATTATCAGCTGGGGAGATTAACATCTTCATCATGGTGTATCTTCCAATTCATGAATATAATCTATTTCCCCATTTATTTTGACCTTCTTAGATTTTTTATAGTAGCATTTTTGTCATTTTTAGCATATAAATCCTATGGAAGTTTTATTAGATTTATATCCTGCGATATCTATTGTTTTATTTTTTTTTAACATTCCTAATAATGTGTATGTTCCCCTTTTTTGTCAGACTTGGTAGGGGTTTGTTAGGAAGTTTGTTTTTTTTTTTTTTTTTTTTTTTTGGTTTTTGACATGGGTTTCACTGTGTAGCCTTGGCTCTCCTGGAACTCACTGTATTATGTAGACCAGGATGGCCTTGAACTCATAGAGAACCTTTGCCTCTGTCTTTACAGTCCTGGGATTAAAGGTGTATGCTACCATGCCAAGCTGTAAGATTTTTTTCATTCTAAGCAACTTTTTTGCTTTTTAAAAAATTACCTGTTTATTCTACTTATTTTAGTATACTGTTTACCTAATTTTCATTTTACTGATTTTTGCTCCTGTATTTATTTCTATCTTTCTTGTTTGTGCTCAGCTCTACCTAGACACCCAAGTAAAGCAACATGCACTATTGTCAAAAAATACATGTGGTGCCAGTTCATTGTATTTTCCAGATGTGAATAAGTAATGATTATTAATTGTAGACACTGGCATTTACAGAACTTGCATTACAATAAGTTCCTTACAAAATAAGGTAATGAGACTGATGGGTTTCTCTTGGTTTGTGGCTTCTGAAGTTACTTGGTGACCTCATGTAATTTCTGTAACCCGGTTCTTATTTTAAACTGACTTAGAAATCCCCTGATACTCATTGTGGTATTTTGAACCTTGTAAACTCAATAGGATCAGAGCTTACTTTCTTACTTGTTTTTTATTTCTTCAACTGTTGCTGAGTGGTTAGGTAGCTGCTCCAAAATAGGACCAAGGCAGCTAGCTGTTTAGAAATAGGACCAAGGTCTTGGAGTTCTACTGTAAATAACTAGAAGTTAGTTGTGATTTCTTCCTCCCTCATTCCTTCCTTCTCTCCTTCCTTCCCTCTATCCCTCCTTTTGCAAGTGCCTCTCTTCATAGCCCTGCCTGTCCTGGAATTTAGTATGTAGACCAGGCTGGCCTTATACTCACAGAGATCCACCTGCCCCTGCCTCCAGAATGCTAGGATTGAAGATGTATGCTAACCATGCCTGGCTAGCTGTGATTTCTTGACCATGACTAACTTCAAGTTTGTGTTATGAATGAAAAATGAATACAACTACAATTCCAAAGCCAAGTCACTTCTGTGTATAAGTCCAAATTATATTTTTAAATTAATATTTTAAAATTTTTTGGAAAACACTCTAATATTTTAGTATACAATCTGTATATTTACTTAGTCTTGAATAATCACTTATACACAAAGGATATAATTTTGGCAACTTACAGGGGTTATGAAGTTGTCTCAACAGATGAACTTATGTGTCCCAAACACTTTATGTTGGTGTGATGACTGTTCTCTTGGAGTACAAATATGAATTGATAGTGAGGGCTGGGTAGTGGAAAAACACAAATTCAGCTAGCCAAATAAACAGGTAACCTTTGCACCTTACAGGGAAGCAATACAATTATTCAAGGTTAAGTAAGAACACTCTGGTATTATTAGACTGAAAAATTATGATAACATTTGCTTCAAATAGCATAAAGAATAAAGATGAGAAGAAACCATGGGCTTCTTGTGTAATAGTGTTTGTAACTTGATATTTAAAAAGATGCAACCTTATACTTAGAACTAGTATCTTATCAGGAAGAACTGCAGTTCTTGAGTCTACAGGTCTAAGTTGGAATTGTGTCTCTACCATTTCTACCTTTGTGACTGTAGACAAGTCATTTTACCTCTATCTCTCAAGTTTTCTCACCAATTAAACAGTGACAAACATAGTGTGCTGGTAAAATGTGGTTATAGTAAATATGATGAGGATTTCGTGCACTAGGGGCTACGGGGTGCAACTCAGTGCAGAATGTTTGCCTAGCATGTGCAAAGGCCTAGTTTCTATCCACATTGTCATCACTACCTATGGAAACTCCCCAAAACAATAATTAAATATGTTGTTTGACACATACTCACTAAATTTTGCAGTTTATATTATCTGTCGTTAATATGATTTTTACAATCACCCAGGCAACAATAAGTCTTACATTAATGAAATCCTGGTTTGTTTTTGTGTTATTTGTTACAGTTTTTCAATGTGCTATTGTAACTTAGACAGTATGGTCTAAGGTGTATTCTCATTCTGACCATGTAACTCATTGAAAGTATCATCTTACAAGGAGTCCTGATCTCTTGCATTTTTCACATTTCCTTTAAGGGATATAATGGAATGAGAATTTTGAACATTACCTATCACAATATCTCTCATTTTTTCCAGTTAACTGCAGTGAAATTTTAATACCAGAAGCCTGCTATGTCTCTATATTTTATAATGGTTTTGGATGGCTTAAAACTTACCAGTGTGATTTTAGGTTATTCTTCTGTATGTCCCACAATCATAGGGATGACATTACCCCATCTAGTGTACATGGTTTAGTGCAGTGTTCTCAACTAAGGGCAATTTTGTTACCTGGGAGACATCTGTGAATATCTGGAGATCTTTTTGGTTGCTATATCCTGGGGCAAATGAAGTTGTTGCTGTTGGCATTCTGTAAGTAGAAAGCAGGATCCCAAAGTGCACAGGAGAGTGGCTCCCCACAACAGATAATAATCTTGGATTGAAAAGCCCATAGTGCTGAGTTTGTAAAACTGTGTTGTAGTATGATGGTTAAGTTCAGTGTTGTCTGAATAATCCAGAAATCATTAAGGAAAGTAAAAGGCCACATCAAACCAGAGACCTCAAAGGAAAGAGTTGGGTTCTTGGCTTTCAGATAGAAGCTGTGGACAATGTAGTTTGCTTATGTAGACAAAAGAGGCTATCTTTGTTTTCTAAGTATTTTTTTTTTTTTTGGTAACAGAGTGGGGGTTTTTCTTTCTGTTAACTACATATAAAATATAGACATACTCCAAACATATGTTCATTGTTTCATAACAATTTCTGTTTTGTTTTTATGGACACATCTTGATTTATGAAACAGATTTATGAAATATTTGTTCATATGATTTTATTGTGATATATTTTGAGAAACTTAACATCGTTTTCAATTGTTCCTTATTTTATCTAGCTCCTAACATTGCTGCATTAAGTTTAGCAACCTCTCTGCCTCTTGGATTTTAGAAAATGGGGACAAGCGGAAATTGTTATGTAGCTCCATGGTTGGTACTTACTTAGTGTTTTCAAAACTTTGGCTTCCATCCCCAGCACTGACCAAAATGGGGACTATGCATTTCTGTTGAAGCTGAGATAGCCTTTCTTCATGGACATGGTCCAGGTCAGATGCCACAGCTTCTGGTACCTGTGTTGTCCATAATGTTCACATTTCCTTCTTCTGCTGCCCAGAGTTGGTGTGGAGGAGCTCTCCGAAGAGGACCAGAATGAGCACCGCTGGCAGTACTTCAGGTGACACAGACACTACTAAGAAAATGGTTTACTGGCCTTTGCTTTTCTGTCTAACTTGAATGGTTTCTCTTTATGCTGTTTGCTTTTTCCTTCCTGAATATGCCAATCATCACTCCATGGGCAACAGGGAAATCAGTTTAATCATTCCTCCATGTTGATTGGTGTGCCAACTTTATTGGTATTATTGCTTTCCACCCACATTTGGGGCCACGTGTTTTCAGCCACAAAGCCTGAATTAATGTCTTCATTTGGTACAGCTGAGCTTAGTGTTGAGAATAGTTTTTCCAAGCCATCTACACTTTCCCCAGAAAACCCTGCCTCTGATCTAGTAAATAAGGCTTGTAACTAATACAGAGAATTAGATTTTCATATTTCAGCCTTGACTAGAGCATACCTCACATGATCTTAATTAATTGCCAGTGTTGTGTATTTTTAAGTATGTATTTGTATATCTATACTTTGTCATGATGGTTCAGATGACATGAAGGACATTAGTTTTTATTAACAAAAGGATGAAGTTACCCCTAACACAGTTGTTTCTTGTCTACACCCAACTGTATATGATGAAGTTGTATTTAAGGGTAGTGATGTATGAGCAAAGTAAAAACCCTCCTGTGTTCATTCTTGCCTTTCTGGATCTCCAGTTGATATGTTTTCTTCCTGGTCTGATCTGTAGATACATGAAATGTAAAATCAGCTTGAACTCAGATCTTGGGAAAATATTCTGCTCACTGAAGACAGGATGAAAAAAATATCTATAAGTGGGGTGTGGGTTTTAGAATATAGCTCAGATATATGCTACAATGGCATACATGAAATTCATGGAAGTACTTCTGCCAAAACTACTGGCTGTGGACTTAGAGAATGCCTGATCCACCACCATGCTATTCCATACAGTATTGCTTCTGACCAAGGAACTCACTTCACAGCCAGAGAAGTGTGACAGTGGGCCTAGGATCATGAAATCCACTGGTCTTACCATGTTCCCCACCATCCTGAATCAGCTGGCCTGATAGAAAGATGGAATTGCCTTTTAAGGCACAGTTAAAGTACCAATTAGGTGGCAGTAGCCTGGAGGGCAGGAGCAGGGTTCTCCAGAAGAAGGTATATAATTTGAATAAATGTCCAGTATATGATATGGTTTCTCCCATAGCCAGGATCCACAGGTCCAGGAATCAAGGGGTGGAAAGGGGAATAGTTTCACTCGCTATTACTCCTAGTGACCCACTAGTAAAATTTTTGCTTCCTGTTCTTGTGACCTAGATTTTGGTTCCAGAGGGGGAGCACTCCTGCCAAGAGCCATAACAAACATTCCATTGAACTGGAAGCCAGCCCTCCTGGGCTTCTGACATCTTTAAACCCAACAGGCTAAGAAAGGAATAACTGTGTTAGGAGAAGTGATTGATCCAGATTACCAAGGGGAAATTGGATTACTTCTTCACAATGGTGGTAAAAAGGATTATGTCTGGAATGCAGAAAATCTTTTAAGGTATCTATTGGTGCTACCATGTCCTGTGATTAAAGTCAATGGGGCACGACAACAGCCTAATAAAGACAGGATAACAAAGGAATGAAGGTATGGGTCACTCCTTCAGTAAAAGAGCCAAGACCTGCTGAGGTTTTTGCTGATGGTGGAGGAAATACAGAATGGGTAATAGAGGAAGGCAGATATAAATATCAGCTAAGGCCACATGACCAATCATAAAAATGAGGATTATAGTTGGCATGAGTGCTTCTGTTGTATTTTGTTAACAATGAATTTGTACAGATATTTGTGTTTTCTTTCAATTTCTTTATCATATGTTGTAACATCAACTAAGAAAATATCAATTGTTATCATATTTAAGTTTGAGATACTAAAAAGATGTCCTCCAAGGGACAGTGTCCCCTGTTCTAAATTTATCATGAATTTGCAGCTGTACAAAGGATAGTCATATTATATTAGGCACACATATGACCTGGTTAAATATATAATGCATTTGTGGTTATATATGGGATAGTTATATTCTGTTTAGGAGTTATTATGGCCTGGTTATTGTTTTCATTTGGAAATTAATCATGACATGTATCAAGTTGACATGGTAGATTGTGATGGTTGTTCTTGGTTGTCAACTTGACTATATCTTGAATGAACCAGAAATGGGGCATACCTGTGAGGGATTTTCTGTTTGGTTTAAAGTAGGTGAATCTACTTCTAGCCTGGACCTTTAAGGTAGGAAGACATACACCTATGGTGTATCTTGGGGCAGGAGGACACATCTTAGATCTGGATTTTAAGACTGGAGAACACAGGCCTTTAATTCAGATCTTGAGGCTAGAAGATATATGCCTTTAATCCAAATTTTGAGACAGGAAGACATACCTTTAATATGGGCCATACCTACTGCTGGAAGACTATATAAGGATACAGAAGAAGGAAGCTTTTGCTCTTCACCTGCTTGCTCTTGCCTTGCTAACACATCTATTCCTTCAATAGTATGAGAGCCTATTTGTTAGAGCACATACAGATTTATTAGAGCCGACAAATCCAGCCTGTTATGCAGAGAAACTACTAGATTTTTAGATTTTCTGTTCATGGTTATTCATTGTTGGATTAGCTGAACTGTAGCCTGTAAGCCATTATAATAAATCCCCTCTATATATGGTGTGTGTGTGTGTGTGTGTGTGTGTGTGTGTGTGTGTGAGAGAGAGAGAGAGAGAGAGAGAGAGAGAGAGAGAGAGATTCATTCTTTAAGTTCTGTGACCTTAGTGAATGCTGACTAATAAACTACAGTAGACAAATTGTTTTAGAATGAAAGTTATTAACTTTTGGGTATTTATCCATTCATGAAAAACCACATCCATTTGACTTCTTTGAGTTCTCATATAGAATTTCCACATTTGTTTCATTCTTAGTGAAACTAAGGATAATTCAGTTCACTCTGGAAGAAAAGACTGCTCTACCTAGTGTATCTGAATGCTAAACTGTGACATAATAAAGCTCCAGGTTTCTGTAATGTTCCAGTTGTAACAGTCAGGAAATAAATACTTTAGAAATGGTTGCTGAACCGAGGAATTTGAGAAAGTTAAATGTTATGGGGCTCAGAACCTACAATCAAAAGCCTATGTCTATGATTTCTTGATGTTTAGCACCACTCCAAATGTCCTGGCCCATTGCTTTACTCTTGTCCACACAGAGCAGTTTGGTTCTGGGCTGTGATCCAAGGGCGGATCCCTTTATAGGAATCCCATCATACTATGTGTCATCCTTGGGGATTGTTCCAAGGCCCCATCCAGATGGCAGAAATGTAATTATTAAATCATGGAAGTGAACATTCTCAAATGGGAAGAAAGTTACAGAATAACTTTTATGTCCATGGTCCGTGTTTGTCTTCTGAGGGGTCATTTATGAAGCCATGGCAAGCTGGAAAGCAGGTATTATTTCCCTTCGTGAATTCTCCTACTAAGCACTTACATCAGTAGTTGGTACCTCCATGAGATCCCACGAGAGCCAGGCAGTACCCATAGTCTCTGTGCCTGTTTCCAGAACTTCAAGTCTCCAGGGAGTGATACAACCAGATCTGAACTTGGCTGCATTGCTTACCACTTCATTAACTGCATCTGAGTCAACTTGAGACTTTCTCCATTTCCATTACTTTTAGGAGAAAGAGAATTTCAGCAAAACATTTCAGAAATTTATCAAGAAGAAAATCTTATATGATGAGAATCTTTAGTTTCTCATTTCCTGTGTTTACCAAGTCTAGTATCTTATATTATGAATCTTTACAATGAGCTTGTAAATCATCAGTATTAATTAATTAGAAATAGAAAAATAGGTTGGTGTGTTTTTGAAACATCTTTACCAAAGGTATCAGTAGGTATTCTTAATTGTGACATTAAACATCCCCCCCTCCAAGGAGAGAATGGAGCAGTGAATACCCAGGTACTAACTTGCACTCACCACTTAACTAAATTTGTCACATTTTCCCCACTTCAGAGTCAGGTGTCCTGAATCTACTCATAAATGCAATCTCCTCTGTAACCACATATGAGAAAAGCAACATGAATTTTAAACACATAGAACCCAACAAACGTTTATGCTTATCGGAATTTCTGTTTACTCTTTTCACATTCCACTCCATTTCCATGGTCTCTTATAACGTTTTTTAAGTATTCAGGGTCGTTGTTTAACACAATATCCTATCAGGATTTTTCTGATGTTTCATTATGACAAGAGGTAAATGATCATTTTTGTCAAAATAAACTGTTAAAGAATGGTTTCACATTTCTTATAATCTTTCAGGTGGCACATGTTGTCAAGCTGTCCATTATTAGTGATATTCCACTTGGTCAACATAGACTACTGACCCTAGATTCTCTAGTGTCAAAATGCCAGTTTCCTTTATACAATTGAAAAGTTAACAGCAGAGTGATATTTTGCCACCATATGAATGACCAGATTCTTAGTGAGCCAGCAATAAAATCATTCACTAGTGAGTACACTAAGGACAGAGCATTAAAATTTTTCTAATTTTCTCATTTCTTTCAATTTTTGAAGATAACGAATGTCCCTCATAAAGAACTTTAGAGGTTTTGCAATTTGTTTTACACACTGCTAAAGTTGTCTAGGTATTCAGTTCAAGAGAATTTAACTTGTGGAATTAGAGTTGTTTCCCTACAGGACTCTTAACAGGAACCTGGGTGTTAGCACTGGCAAAGCAAAGTGTTAGCAATAAGAAGAAATAAGTGATGTCAATATGGAAACCTGACTGAAATTAGGGTTTATTTTAGAATCTACACTTTCATTGTCCACATATGATTATTTAAAGTTTTAATTAGTTAAAAATAAGACGTAAAATGTAGTTCCTCACTCATACTAACTGAGTTCTCAGTGAGCATAGCAGGTGACATTGCAGAAAGTTCTATTGTACAGTACTGACTTAGACTCTCAGGTTCTCTGTAACAAATTGTGAACATCATGAGCTTGTGACCAAGTTAAGATGGTTCTAATTTCCTGAGTTCACCATAACATGTTTTGAGTGCAGCATTTTAGGCTGTTTGGAATTCTGGCCCAGCCACATGGGCCTAATGCAAATGCATTGGTATTTCTGTGCTTTGAGTGAAATAGATCAGTCTTAGCTATTATACGTAGTTGTTTTAAAATAGAACCAATTTAAAATTTTGCTAGAACTCAGGAGACAGAGGATGGAGGATTGCCAGGATATGGTATACATAGTAAATTTCAGGCCAGCCAAGGCTACATAGGTTACCCTGTGCCCACAAACTAAAATGATTTTGTTAAGACATATTTTCTTTATGTAGTAAACATCTGAGGACTATAGTCCTCATAATTGTATTTGATTTTATTTTCCTTGTGATGGTACAGTGTTCCATGTGGGCCTCCTAGTTCATCCATTTGCTTCACCAGTACTGATGCATAAGCCTTTTAAGAAGGAGACTTCCTTCACAGTCCTCAGTGCAGAGAGGAGGGATTCTTTTTGTTGTTGTTTGTTTTGAGACAGGTAGCTCTGGCAGCTGTCCTGGAACTTGCTCTGTAGACCAGGCTGGTCTAGAACTCACAGAGATCCTCACCTGCCTATGCCTCCCAAGTGCTGGGATTAAAGGCATGTGCTACCACTGCCTGGTGAGAGGAGGGATTCTTAGTGGCAGATCTGAAGTGACATATTCTCGGTTACCCCATATTCTTTAGCAGCCTCTCTGTGGTTTGGCTGAGGACAACATGTCACCTGCTCTTCTGAGAGGTACTGCACCCCTGAGTCTGCATCCAGCAACAGCTTTCAGTAGATTTGTCTGGTACAAAGTATTTTTGTGCTGCTTCACAAGGTCTGATAGTATATTCTTGTCCATTGATCTTATAAATGCTACCATATATACCTTATACATCACCATCTAGAGGATATTTCCTATGGAATGGATATTAAGAGTCTCTAAAAACAGGTAAAGTTGAAGAATGGCTAGGAGTTCCAAATGCAATTTTGCCTCCAGCCACTTTCATGTATTAGATTATTGTGTGTCCTAGGACATTGGATGACTTTTTGGGGCAGCTTTTGAGCCACTGAAGTAGATGGTAATATAGGTAGGTCTCTGAGATTTGGTGTTTAAACATTACCAGATAAGGTCTAGTTGCAAAGTCCATCTAATTCAGTGTATTGGTTCACAATGAAGAATCTGGTGCCAGGTCCAGTGTAGGATTTTATCAAGTCCAGAATGCTGCCTGGCCCTGGATGCAAACATGTATTGTGTACATGAATTCATCTTGTGGCTAAAACGTTGCCTTCAACACACAATAAGGTAGATGTTTCCTTGTATTCTGCTCCCTTCCCAGGGGCAAATACTTTGGCCAATGGTCAGCAAGCTTGAGACAGGGCAGAATAGAGGTTGGCTTTGAGAGTTTGGGTATATCTGTGCTATCATTTACCCCTTACTTACATGTAGTCTCTTTTCTCTAGAAAGATGCCAGGTCTAACAGGTGATAGGGAGGAAGAAAAAGAAGAAAAATAAGTATGTACTTAGGGCTTTGTATGTCCAGTCCAGTGTCTGCTTGCTGGACAAGGACATTCTTGTACTGGACAGCAAAGCATCCCTCTTCAAGTTTATAATGGCCTAATCTGCTGAAAACTTGAAGCTTCATTACATATTGAGATATTGGGCGATTGAAAGGAGTACAGGATTTTCTTGGAGTCTATTTCCTCTTCCATTGCTCCATATTATCTGTCTCATAATGGAGAAGATATGTATATAAACAATTAAGCTTGATATGGTGGTGCATGTTTATAATCCCAGCGGTGGGGAGATAGGCAGGTCTCTTTGGCTTGCTGAGCATTCAGAATAATCTAATTGGTGATTTCTAGGTCAGTGAAAGTCCCAATCTCAAAAAACAAAAGGCGTTCTGAAGAACAACCTAAGTTTGACATCTGGACATCACACATATACATGTTTGCACATGTAAGCACTTGGACATGCATATACACAACAAGTTAGAAATGTATTCATGCTGCTGCTTCATTTATATCATGAATAGATGTGAGGTGGATAAATGGGATGATGGTAATAAAAAAGCTGTAATAAATGTTAACTGTAGGCTCTTGGTGAGCATGCAGGTATTTACTACAGATTCCTCCCATGATTCTTTGTTCATCGGACTAATCTCATAACAAAATATTGTGGGTATCAAAGCAATTCAGGGCAGAAGTGAGAAAGCAACCAAGCAGAAGAGACCTATGGTTTAGTAGTGGGATCCACTTGGTATAGGATGGCAGATGGACAGCTGCCGGTGTATTTCCCATAGGCCTTGCTAAGGGCAGGAGTGCTTATAATATCTGACTCTTTGGGATCTGCTGTGGTGTGGACCTGACTTCTGCATGATGGCCTTTCTCTCCTTGAAGCTAACCACTCCTGCTTTGGGAAGATACTCACTGACTCAACCAGCAAGGCTGCCATGGGCCAAACTAATGCTTTCTATTTTTCTCCTTGTCTTTTTTTCCCCGGTGATTTTTAGAGTTGGTGTTGACCCTGACCAAGACCCACCACCTAACAATGACAGCTTTCAAGTCTTACAAGGGGTAAGTTAAAAGTTGCTGCATTCTGGGAAAGATATGATTTGAAAATTGCTAAAATTGAGAATTTGATCTATGCTGTGCATTGTATCTGGCTTCCCTTATTGTCATCATGACAACAACCTTTTAGGTTGCTGCCATAAAGTCTGGTTTATAGGTTAGAAGCTGAAAATTGTGTTGTAAGTGAATTACCTAAGGTCAGATAATGAGAAAGTGGTACTTTTGCAAGTAAAACAGGCTTGGAACACTTGGCTACTAGGATGAGGAGAGATTCTCCTAGATCTAGATAGTTCCATAGCAGTCAACGCAGCTCCATTCTCCGGGTCACACATCGTCTCTCCCTCTGAACACACACCTACAAAAAGAATTAAATGGGGTGCATAGGTTGGTTTCATGCAGCATTGCTTACTGTGTGTCTCTTAAGACCTGCAGGCTGAAATATTAACAAGAGGTACAAGTCAACTTTGCTGGCTGTGTGGCCAACAGGAGTCCCCATGAAGTCTTGGGGTCTGTACTCAGGTGCATCCAGATGCTTGCTATCTACCCTAGAAAAGAACTTGAGGCTGAGTCAAAGCGAAGTTCCCAGGTTTGTTGATTGAGCACGAAAAAGAATGGGCTAGAAGGGAGTCAAATGTGCATGGTAGGAGATAAATACACCCAAGTGTCTCAGCAATAGCTACATTGTGATTTGGGGGTTTTGAAGGTACTTCTGCAGCTGAGTTTAGCTGTTGGGGAGAGTATGTATTTGAATACTTCATTTTATTTTCCACAGAACTCTGTCCTTGAAGTAGAAACTTCCTTGTAAATCTCACTGGCTTGCAGGTGGAGAAAAGAGTGTGGTTAGAGAGGAAATAATCATCAAGGAATCCTTATACACATAGGCCACAAATGGATTAGGCCTAAGCACAAGTAATAAGTAATGACACAGTTTTAACAATCCCATGTGTGCTACATCCCAGGTGGCCCATGCAATTACATAGAAATTCCTGGATGCCAATGAGTGAGAAGCAGAAATCAGAACTGGAAAATTAAAGGGTCTCTTCCCTCCTCACATCCCCTCGGCTTACTAATCAGCTGTCTTGCTATGGTAACACTGTATTTGCAGTTAGACTTAGTGATGAACTTGCTATCAGTTTTTCAAGGAAATATTTGGGAAGTAATAGTCTTAATTGTTGGTTCTGGCATTTCATACTACAGTAAGGCTAAAGCAGCCTTTTCTCCAGGTAGAGTGAATGACTTGACACCCTGGACCAGGTCAGCACTGGGTTGCTGGTACCTCCAAGATGATATTGATAGGGCTAACAGTGACTTCTGCTGTTGTCTTATGGCATCTGGTTTGCCTGCCTGCAACTGGGTGTGTCATAGATTCCTTTGACCTCCTCCTCCCAAGTTTCACATTAAGTCATGGAGGTGTTTTCAGAGTCAGTTCTGCTGGTCTTTTGAAAACATTCAAAATTAATGTCAGTATGGAAAAAGTAGGCAGACTTTCAGTGTGGTTCCCCAAGTGCCCTGCTACAACTCAATCCCCACACAAAAAAAGGCTTCCTCCACATCTTCCTCACTGGTTTTCTTGATCCAGGGAACCACAAACAGCATGCTCTGGATCATTCAGTGACCTTGAGAAACAAGAGCAATCAGTGTGCCTCTCATTTGTACATGAAACCTTAGGTTCTTGTGATTGCCTTGATATACCTTCCATGCTTGGTGATGTCATGAAATTTGAATTAGAGGTGGGAAAATTCCTGATATTTGTCCTCTTCTAGAAAGGGCAGTTCTCTTGACCCTGTTTTTTAAATGGTCATCTACAGGTGAAGGCAGTGATGAGATATAGGAAGGAAAATCATTTTTTTTTTTGTAATAAGGTTCTAGAAACCAGTTTTCTTACAAGTTATAGAAACAAAGAGAAGAATGCAATGAATCAATGAAACAAAATGTTAGTTCTTTGAGAAAATCAATAAGACAAACCCTTATCTAAACTAATTAAAAGGCAGAAAGAGAATATCCAAATTAACAAAATCAGAAACTAAAAGGGGGACATAACTATAGAAACTGAGGCAATCCAAACATCATTAGGTCATATTTCAAAACCTATACTCCACAAATTTTAAAAGTCTAAAAAAATGGACAAATTTCTTGATAGGTACAACTTACCAAAATTAAACCAAGATCAAATAACCAATTTAAGTATAGACTTATAACCCCTAAAGAAATAGAAGCAGTCATTAAAAGTTTTCCAGCCCAAAAAAAAAAAAAAAAAAAGCTCAAGGCCAGATGGTTTTAGCACAGAATTGTAGCAGTCTTTCAAAGAAGAGCTAATACCAGTATTCCTCAAATTATTCCACAAATAGAAACAGAAGGAACATTGCCAAATTCTTTTTATGAGGTCACAGTTACCCTGATACCCAAGCCACACAAAGACTCAACAAAGAGAATTATGGACCAGTTTCCCTCATGAACATGAATGCACAAGTACTCAATAAAATACTTGCAAATTGAATCAAAGGACACATTACAAAGATCATCCATCCTGATCAAGTAGGCTTCATCCCAGAGATGCAGGGATGGTTCAACATATGAAAATCTGTCAATGATGTAATCCACCATATAAACAAACTGAAAGAAAAAAAAACACATGAAACTTGTGGTATGCTTTAAGCATCCTTTGAGTATATGCCCAAGAGTGCTAGATTGGTCCTCTTATGGGACTCCTAACAGTGGGAACAGGGGCAGTCTCCAAATCTTTTACTGCCTTTGAGACTCTACATCACCTTGCATAGCCTTAATGCATGGAAAGTTGCTTAGTATTACCACAATTTGATATGGCATGTTTGATGATATCTGTGGGAGACCTGCCCTTTCCTAAACTAAAAAGGAAGAGGAGTGGATTGTGGATGGGAACAGGGGAAGGGAGGAGTAGGGACTGGGAGGAATGGAGAGAGGGGAAACTGTGTAAAATAAATAAATTTATAAAACAACAACAAACCCCACATGGATTTAACAAAATCCAGTATTCCTTCATTATAAAAGTCTTGAAGAGGTCAGGGATACAAGGAACATACCTAAACATAATAAAGGTAATATATAGCTAGCTGATATTGCCAGCATCAAATTAAATGGAGAGAAACTCATAGCAATTCCATTAAAATAAAGACCAAAAAAAAAAAAAAAAAAAAAAAAAAAGGCTGTCCATGCTCTCCATATCTATTCATCATAGTATTGGAAGTTCAAGCTAGCTCAATAAGACAACAAAAGGAGATCAAGGGGATACACATTGGAAAAGAAGAAAAAGTGTCACTATTCACAGATGATATGGTAGTATACAAAAGAGACCCCAAAAATTCTACCAGGGAACTTCTATGGCTGACAAACACCTTTAGTGAAGTATCTGGATACAAGATTAACTAAAAAAAGTAGCCCTCTTATATACAAATGAAAATGGGCTGAGTAAGAAATCAGGGAAACATCACCTTCACACTAGCCACAAATAATATAAAATATCTTGGGGTAACTCTAACCAAATATGTGAAAGACCTGTATGACAAAAACTTTAAGTCCCCAAAGAAAGAAAATTGGAGAAGATATCAAAAAATGGAAAGATCTCCCATGTTCATGGATAGGTAAGATTATTATAGTAAAAATAGCAATCTTACCAAAAGCAATCTATAGATTCAATGCAATCCCCATTAAAATCCCAACACAATTCTTTGCAGACCTTGAAATAATAATACGTAGCACACGCCTTTAATTCCAGCACCCGGTAGACAGAGGGAGGTGGATCTCTGTGAGTTTGAGGCCAGCCTGGTCTACAGAGCGAGTGCCAGGATAGGCTTCAAAGGTACACAGAGAAACCCTGTCTCAAAAAAAAAAATAAAAAATAAAAAATAAAAAATGGAAAACCTAAAAACCCAGGATGGCTAAAACAATCCTATTCAATAAAAGAACGGTGAGAAGTTTTATGACCCCTGATTTCAAGCTCCATTACAGAGCTATAGTAACAAGAACCAGATGGTATTGGCATAAAAACAGACAAGTGGATCAATGGAGTTGAAGATCCAGATGTAAATCCACACAGCTTGGACACCTGATTTTCAACAGAGAAGCCAAAACTATAAAGTGGAAAAAAGAAAACAAATGGTGGGATCTAACTGAATGTTGCCATGTGGAAGAATGCAAATAGATGCATATCACCCTGCACAAAACTTAAGTCCAAGTAGATCAAAGACCTTAACATAAATCCAGATACACTGAACTTGATAGAAGAGAAAGCAGGGAATAGCCTTGAACACCTTGGCACAGGAGAGAACTTCCTAAATAGAACACCAATAGTGCAGACACCAAGACTGACAGTTAATAAATGGAACCTCAAGAAACTGAAAAGCTTCTGAAAGGCAAATGACACTGTTGAAAGACAAAACTGCAGCTTACAGAATGGGATGAGATCTTCACCAACCCCATGTCTGACAGAGAGCTAATCTCCAAAATATATAAAGAACACAAGAAGCCAGACATCAACAAACCAAAGAACACAACTAAAAAACGGGGCACAAATCTAAACAGAATTCTCAAGAGAGGAATCTCAAATGGCTGAAAAAGTTCCAAAGAAATGTTCAACATTCTTAGCCATCCAGGAAATACAAATCAAAACAACTCTGAGATTCCATCTTACACCTGGCAGAATGGCTAAGATCAAAAATACAAGTGACAGCTGGCACTCCAGGCAGTGCCCAGAGTGGACTCACTCTTGTGGCATAGGTCTCAGGCTGGACCAGTCATTGGTTGGCCACTCCTATATTCTCTGTGTCACCCTTACCCCAGCACATCTCATAAGCCAGGTCCAACAGACTGTGGGTGGAAAGTTATATGGCTGGATTAGGGTCCCAATCCCTCCACTGGTAGTTTTGCCTAGCCATAGGAGGTGGCCAGTTCAGGCTACTCATCCGCCATTGCTAGGAGTCTTAGCTGGGGTCATGCTTGTAGATTCCTGGGAGTTTCTCTTGTACCTGACC